TTTGGTTTGACCTAGATCAAACTAGGGCGTAATTTACTGTTCCCTCCAACTAATATGAGTGCATGTGATAGGGAGATTCATATGATGAACTCTATAAAGGCCTTCTATCATTAGCATGAGGATGAGTTCTTCAGTAATGAGGAAACACTCCAAAAAATGGGCTATCCATTTGCTGTTGGGCTTGTCTAAGTGTTTCATAAGATGATAGGGGCGTCATAGACCGATGTGGGAGGGGCTTCACCAGAAAATGGGAACTCTTTCACGGTACCTTACCGTTCACGAATATGATGGGAAAGCACTCACTGGACATAAATGTTTACCTAAAAATGGCTCTGAACCTTGTCTGACAGAGGCCAAAGGGAAAACTCATATGATGAGTGGATATGATCATTCACAGAAGGGTGGTGGGGTTTTGCAGCTGAAACAGTTGGCTCCATGCACCCTATGCGATTTCCCACATTTCCAGAGACAACTCGCAGTCTCCATCACTGAGAAGGGAGGGAAATCTCAGAGATGAATAAATGGGAATGGAACGTAGATTAAAAGTCATATCTATGTAATGAACATGAATCAAATTAGGTTGTGGACTGATGCTTGCTCTTTTATCAGAAAATGGCAAACAGACAATTTGCAAAGTTTCTTGATGAGAACAAGCTGAAGGGCCCAAACTATGCCGACTGATACAGGAACCTTATGCTAGTCCTGACTTCTGAAAAGTTGGACAAAGTGGCTAAAAATCCTGCCCCGGAGCGTCCGGGTGATAGGGCTTCTAAGGCCCGAAGGAGAGACTATCAGGAATGGGAGGAGAAAAACTCCCTTGTCCGCTGCTATATCATTGCCTCATTATACAACCCAATACAGAGGCAGTTCGATCAGATCGAACTTGCCAATGACATATTGGACAGTCTCAGGACAATGTACGAAGAACAGAATCGTTCTACTCAGCAGAAGGTCTTGAAACAGTTCATGACCGCGCAGATGTCCAAGGGCCAACAAGTTCACGACCATTGTCTTCGGATGATGGGTTACATCAACGAACTGGAGGCTCTTGGATCCGGATTCTTTGCCTCCTTCCTTTAATCCGTTCATCATGAACTATAACATGAACAAGCTGAATGTCAGCTTGCAAGAGCTCAACAATATGTTGCAACGAGCAGAAGAACTGATTAAAAATGATGGGCATGTAGCTATGCTTGTTGAAACTAGTAAGATAGGCAAGAGAAAGAGGAAGGCAAAGAAGCCTTAGAAGAAAGCCACTAAGGGTAAGAAGCAGAAGAAAGACAAATCTTCGGATGCCTGCACTTCTGCAAGAAGACCGGCCACTGGAAAAGGAATTGTCCTGCCAACCTGGAATCCAAGAAAGGTAATTTCGAATCTTGTGTTATAAAAACCAATTTATTGGTAGCTTCTGCGTCCTGGTGTATTGACTCCGGGGCTTCAACTCATGCGTGTAACTCACTACAGGGGTTCAAGGTAAGCAGAAGGCTGAATGAAGGAAAAGTTACGCTCTACTTGGGGACTTCTGCAACTGTTGTAGCCGCGGCCATAGGAACCGTGGAGTTAATTTTTAGAGAATGAACTATTGTACTGAAAGATTGTCTTTATGTACAAAATTTAAGAAGAAATTTGATTTCTGTCTCAAAACTATGTGCAGATGGTTATTTTGTCTTGTTTAGTAATACGATTAATATTAAAATAAACAACAGATTCATCGCATATGGGGAACTAGAGAACGGCATCTATGTTCTACATCATTCTTAAAAACTAACATAACCGAAACTACGTCGGCTGAAATCCCCAAGAAAAGAGTCCGTGATGCAGTTAACCCCACGTGCTTGTGGGGTTCCATTGTTGCATTGGGAGAGGGCTTTAATGGGTTCAAAACAATTGGGATGTTGGGTTCTCCAAGCTTCAAAAATCCAATAAGCATGCTTGGGATGTTGGGAGGATGCTTTGGGTAGATCTTGAATCTAGGAAGATTCGGCTTGATTACGAGAGCAAAGCTGAGAACTGATTGGAGGGTTGCCAACACTCTATTATGTTTTATGGATCGAAATTTCTCGGCTGGGGTAAGATTCTACTACTTCAATGTGGCTTGACTCTAGGACCCCACATTACACGTGTTGGAAAGCCATATGCAGCTCACCCCGAGTATGACCCAAAGATATTGATGCTGCTTGATTCAAGGTAGTGCACGAACCGAGGTTGCAGTCAAATAGTCCTTGCCAATAGGGCGGAGCCGAGGTGGAAGGATGAAGCTGTGCTCCAAGATCTGTGATCAAGAAAAGATGTCAGAGGCCCGAGGAGTTATCCCCCGGTAGGTATTCCGACGCTCAAGTCAGTAGAAGGTGGTGAATGGTCGGGCCGAGCAATGAGGGTGCTGGTCTGAGAAAAGTAACACTATGGGTGGTAAAAGTTGGAATCCCCTACCTTGAGCGGGAGATACCTTTTTATAGCCGAAGGTCCGTGTCTTGGTCGTATTAGGCTTCCGGGGCTGTCAGGTTGAGGTTAACCGCCAAGGTCTTCGGGATAGAGTCCTAATCCACAGCAGAGTTGTCCCCATCCTCTCCTGTTCTTATTCGTACTTATCCGCATGACGTGGAGTCGATGTTGCTAGGAGGATAAGGTGGGGGATACGGAAGTAGTGTAGCGCGGTCATGGTTGCGGAGTTGGTGTATGCTGCGGAGCTGGCACGATGGCACTGATGTGGCCAAGGTGAATGGGCAGCACGTGGCATCTAAGGTCAGTTCAACCATGACCCGAACATATATCATTGTTGAAGGATGGGAATAAGTCAGTCATGGCTTGGCGGTTCATGACGAAGTTACAAGGATTGAAGACAGTTGATAGGGAGGCTAAATTGCAGCGGGGTGGAGTTCGTGCTCTGAGAGGGAGTTCGTGCAAAAGCAGGGGGGTAAGAGAGGGGCTGGAGGTGGAGGGGTCTACTACTGCAATGAGTTGCAGTGGTGGTGCTTATATAGTGGACGTGGAGCTAAAATAGGGGAGAGAGAACTAAGGGGAAGAAGAAGAGAGAGAGAGTCGGAGGTGGAGGGGGTTAAGGATCAAGCCGGCTCGATCTGCTGCTGTTGAAAGGAGAGGGAGAGGGACGAAGGTTAAAATTGGGTTTAAAAAAATTATAAGTCATGTGGTGTTATGTGTGTATGAGTTTTGATGGACCTTAACGATAAGGGTAGAGCTAGTCAATTGTCAGAAACAGTTAGGGTAGCGTTAGACAATAGTCAAACATAAGGGTATATTTAATCAACTAATTAAACCATAAGGGTAGTTTAAGAAATTTATCCATTTAATAAATGTCTACCCATGGGTATCCCTGATCCAATGCCACCCCGACCCTTCCCTTTTACCCTAATGGGTCACTTGATCCATGTTGACCCACTAATGGGATGGGTGGGTTAGATGGGTTGGGGTCAAAATTAGGAATGGCAACGGGACGGGGATCATATTCCCCATCCCTAATCCCCGTTGGGGATAAAGTTTGTCCTCCATCCCCAATCCCCAACGGGGATGGGTTCCTCGCGGGGACCCGAATCCCCAAACTTTTTTAGATAACAATATTTATTTGAAAAATAAATAAGAATTTTAAATTATAAACAATTATATATATATAATTGGGGCGGGGCGGAGACCTCAATCCCCATCCCGACCCCGACCCCGACCCCAACCCCAATCGGGGATTCCTATTAATCTCTGTCCCCGTCTCTACCCCGCCAAAACAATCTTCATCCCCGATCCCATCGGGTCCCCAACGGGGATGGGAAAATTGCCATCCCTAATCAAAATTGTAGAAATTTGGGAATACTTTGTGGATAACATATCAGGAGCGAATTTTCCCTAATCAAAATTGTAGAAATTTGGGAATACTTTGTGGATAACATATAGGAGCAAATTTTAATAACTAGTTTGAAATTGGATTTAGTCCTCACAATATCATACGTTCCCACAGTCCCTTGCTGCCATGTATTAAGAATATCTCCCCATGTAAAAACAAAAAGCATTGGGAATATGCCAGGCTGTTGGTGAGAATGATCTTGTGAGGACTGAACTGAATCCCATCTCAAATATGGTACTGCAGCTATTGCTGGTTCGGGGTTCTGCCTTGTAAAATCGGCAACAAGCGAGGAGATTTTTGGCAGTTTAATTGAGTTGTTGTGCACTTGGAGCACTGCCTCCATTTTTAAAGGAGCAAAAAAAAAGGTCTGTACTCAAACGCCCTCGTGGATGGACAGCTCTGCTTCTTGCCAATTAACAACGGACAACTGTCATGGGAGACAGCTGTCAACATTTTATTGAATAATACTTCGTAAGGCGATGTCATAGCACTTGTAGCAGTGGACTCCGCAGTTTAGCGTTTCTGATAAACGATGCGGACGTGAAAATCGACTGAAATCCAGTTTATAACTCACGAATTAGGAAGAGGATTTTTATTCCTATATATTGTTAGCTTCTGTTTGCCTGGGGCTCGCTAATCTGCTTGCGGAGGGCTCTCTCTCTCTTCCGATCCAGCAATGGCGATTCCAAAGAAGAGCCCTAACCTTTTAGGCATCATTATCACCCTTTCTCTGGTTGCATTCGTTTCTGCCGAGGTTTTCTTCGAAGAACGTTTTGAAGGTATGATCGGTTACATGAATCTCTTAATTACTATGTTTTCTTTAAATTGTTAGTTGGCTGTCCCAAATTTGCGATGCACATTTTGATGAGTTTACTCTCTCTTTCCATCTGCGCTTATGTAGATCTGGTTGATAAAAAATCTGTCTTTAAGCAGTCGGTGTTTAGATCTTCTTCTGTCTAAATCGTTATTCAATCATACGCTAAATGTCGTCAAATAATGGAGAACAAGCAACAATTTCGTAGAGTTTATCTTACAACATTTCAATCCGGTGGAATAATTGTACCTCTTGTAGTTCTTCTTTGGCATTCCTCTTTCCTTTGGAGAGATTAGAGGACGGATCTGACCATGACGGAAAATTTCTGGAATTTGTTTTGAAGGTTATTGACTGGATTTTTATACTTTGGCTTTGAAGTTTGAGTGACGTCTTAACTCGCGTTATAATTATATATAATAGATCATATGCTGTGAATTTTCGCAACTAATGCGGTGTCTAGTGATGTCTAGTTCTTACGTTTAGTCAGCTACTTTCATGGAATCGTGTTTGTAGAGGGTTGGCATTGTATTCTACTGGCTGTGGGTAGATCGGATTCTCATCTCACAAATTCCTCATAAAGTTTCCCATTCCCCCTTAGTCGTTAGAAGCACAAACTTCACGGTTTCTTTACGCGTGGTGCGAGTGCTTGCGCCCATAAGCGTTTTTTGTCTAGAGCGAAAAAAAAGCGAGATTTCTATTTGTAATTGGAGAAAAAGTAGATCCGTGGCCTATTTTTTTTTTCCATTTTTTACATAAAGATAGATTATTCCGTTTTTTTATAAGACCAAAAGGGGCTACACAAGACCGGGGGGGGGAGTACGTCCCCAAAAATTACTAAAACAAATAGAAGAAAGCGGCCAAGGAAGCTGGTGATTATTCTCTTTTTTTGTCTGCTACCGAGGTTACTATTTATTCTCTTTTCTGCTAATCTGCTTATTCTGTCCATGTACATTAATTAATATTTTGGTTCCTTGATTTTAAGAGGCACTCTATTATAGTATTGTATTTGTTTATGATTGTTTATATGGGTTTTGAAGATGGATGGGAGAAGAGGTGGGTCAAATCTGATTGGAAGAAAGATGAGAACATGGCTGGGGAGTGGAACTACACTTCTGGTAAATGGAACGGAGATGCTAATGATAAAGGTACCAACTTGGTCTCTTTTGATAAACCACTGTAAGTTAGGATGACATGGTAGGATTTGGGACATTTATAGCCTTTTTGAATGATTTTATTGCTCTCTACCTACATTAATTTTACATATTTTGATTGCATGCAATGGGATGGCTGATGAGTCTAAAATCTCAATCTAGGTATCCAAACCAGCGAGGACTACAGATTTTATGCCATCTCAGCAGAATTCCCTATTTTCAGCAATAAAGACAAGACATTGGTTTTCCAGTTCTCTGTTAAGCACGAACAAAAGCTTGACTGCGGTGGTGGGTACATGAAGTTGCTCAGTGGTGATGTCGATCAAAAGAAATTTGGCGGTGAGACTCCATACAGGTAATTCCTATGCCATATGCCATCTGAATTCCCAATGATATTGTCTATTTTTTTCTCAGAATCTAAAAGTTTCTTGGTAAATGTTTGTTTTGTGGATTGCAGTATCATGTTTGGTCCAGATATCTGTGGTTACAGCACCAAAAAAGTTCATGCCATTCTTTCATTCAATGAATCAAACCACTTGATCAAGAAGGATGTTCCTTGTGAGACTGATCAGTTGACTCATGTTTATACTTTCATCCTCCGGCCAGATGCTACCTATAGCATCCTCATAGACAATGTTGAGAAACAATCTGGGAGCCTGTACACCGATTGGGATATTCTCCCTCCAAAGAAAATCAAGGATCCTGAAGCTAAGAAAGTAAGAAATATTGCCTGAAAATTATCCAATATATTTATGAAAAATGAAAGCATTGGGTTATCAATTTTAACACACTGAGTGCTGACATACAGCCTGAAGACTGGGATGATAAGGAGTATATTCCTGATCCTGAAGATAAGAAGCCTGAGGTATCCATCCCCTGATTCTAGAAACTTCCTATGGTTCTTTTCATTAGTTCTGATATGTTTATATGCACAACCAGGCTAACTATTTTTTTTCTTTTTGTTTATAGGGGTATGATGACATCCCAAAGGAGATACCTGATTCTGATGCTAAAAAGGTTGTTAATTCAGAAACTTCTAATTTTATAATTTTATGGTGTTCCCCATAAATGAAACTAGTTACTGAGAAACATGCGTTTTCAGCCTGAAGATTGGGATGACGAGGAAGATGGTGAATGGACAGCCCCAACCATCCCAAACCCTGAATACAAGGGACCATGGAAACCAAAGGTTAGCGGGATTGTAATGTAAATTTAAAAGTTGCCATGGTATTTTTTATTGCACACTTGTTTGCTCAAACGCTTCCAAATATTGGCAGAAAATAAAAAACCCCAACTACAAGGGAAAATGGAAGGCGCCTATGATTGACAACCCAGGTTCTTGCTGATTCTTATGTAGCTTAGCATGCTTGTGTATTCTTCACCATGCTTTTGTACATTGTATGAAGTTTGCTAATGTGCTTACAGATTTCAAGGATGACCCAGATATTTATGTTTACCCCAATTTGAAGTATGTAGGCATTGAGTTGTGGCAGGTAAATCTATGGACATACTTATTTTTTCCATTATTTATTTGTAAATTCAAGATGATAGAGCAAATTCTTTGTATTTGCCAGGTTAAATCAGGCACCATGTTTGACAATGTTTTGGTTTGCGATGACCCCGAATACGCAAAGAAACTGGCCGAGGAAACATGGGGTAAAAACAAAGATGTATGTTTCTTAAGCCTTCTCATTGTATTGGGTTGATTTTTTTTTTTTTAGTTTTTTGTCATTCTGGAATTTTTCTGTTTACTGTTATTCTGAAAACATAAAATTTTTGCAGGCTGAGAAGGCAGCATTTGAGGAAGCAGAGAAAAAGAGAGAAGAGGAGGTATTTTATCCCTTTCTCCCTTTGTTAAATAGCTGATGGATGTCACAGGAGCAAAGAATAGGAACCGTGTGTGTGTGTGTGCCTATTTTTGGGTGCATTTATATGGTCTTTTTAATTTTACCTTGATTTGTTTTTGTCCTGTTGTCTTCCCTAAATGGTGATGGATGTTACTGGGCGAATAGTAGGAATCTGTATTTGTGTTTTGTGTGGTGCTTGAATGGGGATATTGTTGCTTTCATCCCTTTGTAATTTTAGTTTCACACATTCAATGAGTAACATTGGTTTGGCCTTCTTTGCAGGAAGCAAAGAGTGACCCAGTCGATTCTGATGTAAGCATACTACTTACCTACCATCTAGAGGATTGCCATTCACATTTCATCATTTGTAATTGCTTTCTTATTTCTGTTAACATTTTATATAGGACGAGAACGAGGAGGAAGATGACGATGTAGATGATTCTGAAGGCGAAGACGCTGGGATCAAAAGCGAAACTGACAAGGATAGTAAGGATGTACATGTATGTGTCCGTATGGTTTTATCATTCAGAGCTTTGTGCTGTTATTTCTTTCACAATCATTCTTCTTTTACTTACGGATGATTTTCCCGTTCATGTTCGCAGGATGAACTGTAACTGAGACAGTCCGGAAGCAGTTGGTTTTAGAGATGACTTTTGAGTATTTAGGCGCCCAATTTTTCCCCCCTTTTAGATGACTTTGAGTATCATTGGCTCTAGGATTCTTCTTTAGAAGAGTACTGTTAATAGCCAAGCGCAATATGTGTGGCTGATTACAACCATTGGTTATCATCAATATTTGAAAAATGAAAGAATTTCTGAATATATTAATCTTCTTGCACGCTTTAATAGTTCGTTCAGAGAAACCTGATAATGTGATGAAATTACCCGTATAACCCGTTCATGATTTCGTAGCTTATAGGTACTTGTATAACTCAGTGGTTTGTTTCCATTTAAGAGAGGTGAAAACAAAGTTTGTAACTGTAATGAGCCAAAACTCTTAAACCAAGACGGTGTTCACAATTTCAAATAATTAGCCATATTAAAAGAAATCTATGCACTGCTATTGGTTCCATATTTGTCTGGAACCAATTTCACAATTTCACAATTTCACAATTTCAAAGTTTTCTCTCTGGTGTAGATATCTCAGAGTAAATAAGGAGAATGTTGCATCTGGATCATATTATCTATTAACAAGATCTGTGGCGTTGGCTACTGCATCAAATCTGAAATGAAGTTAACACTTTGTTTCTGGTACATTACTACATTTGCAACTGTATATAGATTGGCAACATGGGATGCTGGCCCTGTCTGAAGCTTAAACCATGACTAACTAATCTCGACCTTTGGTGAGGTGTAGAACTTTAGACCCAAACTTTTGGCTTAAGATCAGGTCGGTGCAATGCCTGAAAATTGGAGTATTATGTGTGCCCAATCCCCTTTTGCTGATGTCACTTGTTGACATACATTGCCTTTTTTGTTGTTACAAGTTTTTACTTTTAAGAAACTTACAACTTACAGTGAAAAGGAGGCAGAAAACAGAAACGTGATAGCAGCTTGATTTTTGCATTTCTCTCGTATACGAGGGAAAAAATGAGAAGGGAGCATCAATTATGCTCGGCTTTAATACGAAAAAGAAAATTACAAAAGTGCCATTAGGAATGTATTTGGACCCTTTGGGCCCAATGTTGAGATTGCGCTTCCAAGTCTACGTCCTCATCTTCTAATTCATCGTCATCTTCATCTTCATCTTCTTGGAGAGGTGAACTATCATAATCAATCTCCTGGTTTAGGCAACAATAGAAAATAAACTGGCTTTAGTTTCAATTAATCAACTAATTTCCTGGTTCAAAATTTTTATATCCTAAACAGCTGAGGCAAGACTTTCTGGTGTAAATCAGGTACCCAATTTGAAGAATGTACACAGATTTGGGCTGGGCAAAGTCAGGTACCCAATTTGACTAATTTACGTAGATTTCTGGGCCCAAGTTTGGGCCCATTCCAATTGACATATCCTCATCTCAAAACAAGTTTGCCCAAATTACATCCCCTAAGCTGGAGTTTGGAGGAACGAAATGACAAATTCAAATTCAAAGGAGCCTTTGACATTGGACATTATGAAAAAAAAAATGTTTTTCTTGGCTTTAGTGCTGGCTGAGCGTACTCATGGTGGCAAAATTTGCATCACAATGGACGGAAGTGTGTAAAAAATTCTGATCTGAAATTATTCAAGATAAGAATTTACGGGACGGACATAGTTGTGCTGCTGCTGTTGCAGGTTGTTCTGTATTGCTGCAACAATTCGTATCAAGATATAAAGCGGGAGAACGACTCCACCAGCCCTTAGAATACAAACCTGCGAAGTTATAAAGTGAATTAATGATCTAGCTACACACAGCTTCAATCACTACTGGATCTAAATCAAGTTGTGACGAAATACGCCCAGACCCAGAAAGTCTGCTACTTACTGTAAGAATTGTGAACACATAATGGTCCGTTCCACCCATAAGCACTGATAAGAAGTGCCTCGCAAGCAAAAGTATTGTAAACTGCAAATGTCGTCAAAAAACAAACCCTAATTTCAGTACCAGCTCGTGGCTGGGGCCTATAGAAAGGATTGGTAGTTTTAGAATAGGATACAGTTGCAACTTTGCCACGTGGCAATGAAATTGCCGATCTACAGGCTTCTCTTTGGTATTTCGGTTTGGCGATCGTGTATTCAATATTGTTTTCACTTCCTTCTTCCTTTCTGAGAATCAAACGGAAGGGAAGATGAATTTAATTAATACTCACAGTGAGAGCCACTGATCGACAACAGGAGGCGCTTCTGTCGGCGGCGACCGAACACTCGGTGTAGTCGGTTTCGGGAGCGACTATTGCTATTAATCCCGGGCTATGATCGTGTAGCTGCCGCTCCTGTCTTGGAACCTCCAAGCTTCCCCTGTTTTCAATTCATTCTTCTCAAGTAAGCCACGTCTCTGTATTGTTTCAATTCATTCTGCGCAGAGATTCGATCTTCTATTTATTTTATGGAATTCTAAATTACCTGATAGTAACAGCTACATCGGCTTGTTGAGGCTTCTTTGGTGGTGCTGTGTACCCAGGTTCAAATTTCTGCAAACAAAAAGAAATGAAAATCAAAACCATTGAATAAAAAACCCATTTTCCGAACTCTTGCCAAATCATCTGAAATGGGGCAGAGAAGAGCTTCGAGTAAAGTCGAAATTTGCAAATAAAAATACAAGAACACGCAATAAGAATTCAGGTTTCTTGGCTACCAGCATCAAAATAGAGGCAAAAAAAGCTCATTTTCTCACAGGAAAACCATATAAAAAGGCTAATATCTTCGTTTTGTTGGAGAAACTAGAAACTAGTCATCCTATTAAATAGAGGTAAGCTCAATTTTAAAGTAGAATGGGGATGAAGAAGGTGTTAAAAGCAGAGAATGAAAGATAAATGCTGCAGAGAAACCTGAATTCTAGCAGACAAAACAGAAAATACGAGATGATATAAACAGAACCTCAGAGCACAGAAACAAAATTACGGGAAGTACCATTCAAACATAAAAGAAGTAGGGAAAAAAAAGAGTTGAAGGGAACCAAATGAAGCTTTGAATCGTCTAATTCGAACCTGTAGACATATTTCACAGGTGGTATTGCCCTTCTCATTGCACCACCTCTGTATGCAATCTCTGTGTGCAAACTGAAAAAAACAGAAAACAATACAAACAGTCAGGAATTTAAATTCCAGAACAGGATGAGACACGATAGAAACTAAGAAAAGATTAAAATTGCATTTCTTTCATCACCTTCACCGTTCCAGAACAAGCACAGGGAACTTCCAAGCTCTTGGAGCTCTCAACTTCTTCTTCATGGCAGATTCTACACTGTGAAATTCCCGAAGAGGAGGAGATCATATTCATATCCTCTACACAGAAAACTTCTTCTCCCATCAATTTTCCCAACTTTCTCTCTCTCTCTCTCTGGACTTTAAATAAACAACAAAAGCGAGTGATCCAACACTACCCTCTCTCTTCTGTAAAATGACAAGCGCGTCCTCTTTGACTGGGACAACCCGACAACGTAAGACCCGGGTTCAACTTCAAAGCCTTTTCACTTCAATGATCAATCCAAAAACCTTGACTGATAAAAGGGGTAAGATGGTCAGTTAGTCAAATACTTGTCATCTGGTTCTCAGAAAAAATAGATACAGAAGGAGCAGCAGAGAGACACGTAGGTTAGTTCCTGTAATCATATTGACCGTATTCAATCCAGCTCCAGCCAGGTTTATCTTTCCTTGTTATCCAATAAACGCGTTACAGTCGGATCTTCACACATGTTGAAACTGCTCACCGAATGAGGTTATACTGTTATAGGCCATTGAGGGTATTTCGGTCTATACATAGGAGACTGTAGTGGAATTTCATGAGATATGAAGGGCAAATATAACTTTGTTTATGGCGAACTACGGATCTGGGGAAGTGTGTGCGAATGATAAAAATTTGAACCGGAGAGGTCCGAGAGTATGGTCTGGGGAAGTGTGTGCGAATGATAAAAAGATGCGCACGGGAGGAGCACGAGTTTTTGACGCTCGATGATTAGTGCGTGGGTCGAATACTTTCCTGGTTTTCTTTCTTTTTTTGGCTTATTCATCTTTATTTACTTTTATTAAAGTAACAGAATTTGATAACGGTTAAGTTAGTGCTGATTGCGGCATTTGATTTCACATCAACGCTAGAACAAACCAATTAATACACCAACGAATCAGCCTCGATTGATTAACGGCTAATAGTTGGGCGGAATAACTTATTTTTTGTCATTTAAAAGATAAAATAAATTAAAAAAAATAAAACATTGGGAGCTAAGAGACGCGCTAACTTGCGCCTGATGGAGACGCGGGTGCTAATGCGTTACGTTGGGTGAATCACGACCGTCCACGGAGACTCTATGGTATTAAACTATTAAGTTTTAATTGCTTATCCACGTCATTTCTTACACTGACCTATATAATAAAATGGTGAAGGGTTGGAGACGGGTTGTTACTTGTTAAGTAGCCCAACGAACAACCTAACTTCCAATTGCTGACTCCTGTGGAGACGAAGGTGATTCTTGGAATTGTCTGAAATAAAATTATTGTTCTACCTCCAGCCCACGGCGGGTGACCTCGTGGGTAGGTGACTAACATGTTTGAGAAAGTTGGGCTACCAAAATAGAGGAGATACTACCTTCCTATAAACATTAATTGTTTCTTTTTTTTCTTTGTTTGGTAAATTGATGTAACTTTCTTTGAAGTTTATGACCATTGCTGAAATTTTTTCTGGTAATTGTAATTAATTACATAGAATTTTCTGACATAGTTGCAAGTAGATTCTTCCGTTAAAATCTTATAACAAGAGGCATGTAAATGTCTAAAATACCCAAACAGTTACCGTTAAGGCTGGTTTATATATATATAAAAGAAAAACAATACCAACTTTATAAATAATAAAAAAAGAGAGTTTAAAATTGTAACTTTTCCTTTGAGCGATTGATATGGTGGGTAAATTTGAAAAATGAATCAATTTTAGAAAAGAGATTGGAAGGGTCTAAGCTAATGATTCATGTGAAGAGAAAATTTGAAAAATAAACATTTTGGTTAGGGTTGTTCATAAGAAGACCCAACCTGATCAAACCGACCAACCCGGTCCGACCCAACCTGAGTTGGTTGGGTTTTCTTCAACACCGGTCGGTTTCAGGTTATAAAAAATCATAAACCGATGATCCAGTTCGGTTTCAGTTTTCATGTGTGAACACTGAAATCGACTCGACCCGAACCGACTTAATAGTTAGTTCCTAGTTAGTAGTTACAACTTACTTAGTTCTTCACTACTGAGTTCATCAGGAGGTATGTTGTAAACATTAAAGATGACCCAAGACCCATCACTCCATCAGTGAATAAAAAAAGAGTACATGAATAAATGTTTGCCTTAAATTTCAGTATTTCACCATTACTTATCTACACTAGCAGATAGCATCTTCTTAGCTTTTGTTGGATCCAGCTGGCTTTGATAGTTTGATCCATCCACTATAGAGTTTCTTGTAGATTGAAATCTTACTCCAGCAAATAGTACTCTCAAACTTTGCTCCCTCCACAAAATCTGGATCCATAGATGGGCCACAAAACATTGAGGAAATGCCGGTTTCCTTTAGGAATCTAGAGCCATAAATGAACAGCAACTGAGTCAACACTACGTAGAGCCAAAACCGACCCTAACCTACTCAAACCGACCAGGTCGGTTTTGCTTAACACAGGGTCGGTTTCGGTTTCAATTTCAGGTAACCCGACCAGATCGGATCGGTTGGAAAAACATCAGTAAAATGACCCATCCCGACCCGTGAACAACCCTAATTTTGGTCAAAAGCAACTATATGGGTATTTTAGACATTTTTATCTCTTTTTATAAGATTCTAACAGAAGGATTCTACTTGCAACTATATTAAAAAATTTATGGGAGGGAATTGCAATTACCAAACTACAGGGAGATTCCAGCAATTTATTATTATTTTTCTTTGTTTTCTTTTGATAGTTGGACAAACGGATATTCTGTAGCCAAATTAAAATATATAAGCCCACTCTATTCTCCGCAAGTAGTTCAATTGAATGTGAGCCCAAAGGGAAGTTAGGCAAACGGATATTCACTAACCAAATTAAAATATAAAAGCCCACTCTATTCTCCAGCATCAGCAATTAGTTCAGTTGAATGTGAGCCAAAACGGAAGTGCCCAGCTGATAGAAGTAATGCACCTAATCACATGAGTTTTTTTGAGAGGAATCAGGGTCCTCACAAACTGTACTTATACTGTAATTACATCCACTTTCTAACTATGCATTGAAAATATTTTCTCATCAATAAAAACATACAAGTACAGAGATATTTTCAATACGTGATTGTAAGTGGCTGTAAAAATAGTCTTTTAACACCGTTTTATGAAGATAGAATCCGAATTCGAGGTAGAGCAAAGTGCATGTCAGGCCCACGGGCCAGTTCTATTATACGGAAAGTTTATATATCCACGGATTTGATGCTATGCCTATTAAATGAAGGGTGTCATATGGACATTTTAACGACAGTATAGATTCTATGAAATCTCTCATATTCCCACTGAACCCAAATCTCTTGAAAGCAAAATTCATGCAAACACCTTAAGAAAAAAGCACATGTAACTACAATGCTTTGCTTTTAATCAGTAATGAGTCAGTATCCACTCACTATTTAGGGGAGTCTGTGGTGCAAAAGTTAATATTGTTTGCGTAAATAATGTGTAATTAAGGCCCATGATGAAAGTCACAAGTATAATTGGAGGGAGGTGAGGCCTATCGTTTCTTTTGAGATTCAATCTACAATTATGCGGTCAAAAGGCCAAAAGTATGTAACTTTAGCCCTGGAAAAAGAAGAGAAACGAAATCGCATAGCCATAATCTACTGGTTTGGTTAACCTAGTTGTGAGTTAAATGGTCTGGATCTGGATTTACCAGCATTCATTCAAATTTGAATGGAACCTGAATCTTCCATACATGTGTGTTAAATTCATGAGAGATATTTTTAATGTATATTGGATAAAGATACTTTGAGAGTTTGTGCAAAGTTTCTACTTGCAAAGAATACTGTTGCCCTGGCTTGAGGCCATGCTTGATGTTGATGATATTGTTCAATTGGGTATGTATTTTGCAAATTGCGACTTTACATCGAGTTGCATTTGATTGTGGTGGAAAAATCCTCGATGTAAAAGTCAGTTAATCGATTTAAATTTTGAATGGATCGTTGGGGATTTTTGATGTGATAATCGATGTAAATGTACATTAGTAAAATCAATGTAATTTAAGATGGAAAAGTCAGCCAATTAGATGGTTTACATCGACTTCAATGTAAACTTTACATTGGAAATAAATACCTGAAAAAGTAGATCAAGTGTAAAGTTTTACGTTAATTCACATTTACATAAAAAACAAATACAGACTTAAGGGATGTGCACGCTACTTTATTGGATTGAAAGCAATGACATATATATATATATATATATATATATATATATATATATATATTTGCACACATTTTCTTCAAACATTGGCTTTCAATATTGTACAGGGAACAAGGACACATTAAGCTACATGTAAAACCATATATCCTTCATGCTCTACTTGTTGGCACAAAATTGTACCGTATATAAATGTTGCAGTTGGTTCACTTTGAATCTTTTTGTTTGTAATTATGATTTGTATTTCTATTTGATATAAAGTGGGATCATATCATCTTGCTTCCTATTTCACTCGTAAACAAATTACGCCCATCACACCATTTTACTTCTCACAAACAAATAATACAAAGTCAAATTCAAAGTACAAATAAATCCGAATTTGCACTCAGCCTTTTTGCATTTTCAATTTTGGTTAACCAAACTGGTTGGTACATATATACATATATTTTTAATTTTTGTTATATATTTATTTATAATATATATTATACATATAAAAAAACCGAAAATCGATGAATCGACAGTATAGATTTGATTTGAAAAATAGGCCTATGATTCAGTTAACTGAACTATAAACACCCCTAATCATAACCACCCATTCTCACTTTTGAAAACCAAGCCACCTCCATGAATTTTGATAAATTCTCACTCGTTAATGTACTACTTAGCAGAAAGCCTCAAGTTTAGGAGATCTAGATTCAGGCATCATCAAAACCTTTCCCTCTCTTCTCTTGTGGATGGTTTGGGCCGGGCCGGTGGGCCCTAAGTGATGCAAAACAATGGATGTATAACTTAGGGTTATAGACCCAATTCATCAAACAGAATGGCAAAACTAGATTTGTTTTGTCAGTACGTAATTACACAAAATATTGGTTTTGTCAAAAACAAAAACGACTGCCATATCAGCAAAAGCCCTCATTGCTATTTTTTCTTTTAATTA